TGGATGGCCCTTGTGGTCTCTTCCAACTCTATGATTCTATGATATCAGTCCTATTGTAACTAAGCAGAACTAGATCTCCATCTTAGGCAGGGTGACCAGATGTCCTCCTTTTTCAGGACATGTCCCACATTTCAGTTTGCTGTCCAGGAGGAATTCCAAAATGTCCTCAATTTTGAGCACAACCAAAAAGCATGAATTTATATTTATATTTGTGTTTTTAGCTTTTACTTTGTAATGTCCTACATTTTTATCGAATGTCCTACATTTAGTGGAGCCTTGTCCTCCTTTGCGGTTATGACATTTGGTCATCCCAAGCTTAAGTCCATTTTTAATGTCTGGATGAGCACTATTGGTCCACCTCACTGTGTACATTAGGTACGATTTTAAACTGTAAATTTTAAATGTGAATTGTTGTAATACGTATTTGTCTTGTTTGTTCCTTTCAAATGATGTGTGTTTTCAGATGATGTTGAGCATTTGTTTGTCTGTTGTTGTTCCCTTCCTTGGGGAAAGGTGGGTAATAAATAAGTATTATTATTATTATTATTATTATTATTATTATTATTATTGCATTCTAATCTGATATTTTTGAACTGACAGTGAACATTAGAATTTAGTCCATCCATGTCCAAGAAGGTTTTTTTTAATAGAGACAGATGTTTCATCTGTTTTTAACTTTTGTAAGATTTTTAAGTGGTTTCATGGTGCTTTAATGTGGTGTTTTAAAATTGTGATGATGATGATGATGATGATGATGACAAAATAATAATAATTATAATTGTCCTTTCCACCAAAGGGCGGTACATCAGAACATACACAATTAAAAACAAACCATAAAACACAACACTGTAAAGTGTTAGAATACTAAAACGATATACTAATATGCTAAAAACAAAAACAATTAAAATTTTCATAGTTTAAAAATGGGTTTTATCTGTTTTTAACTTCTGTATGATTTTTAATTGGTTTTATAGTGCTTCAATGCCATGCTTTTAAATTGGTTTAAAATTTGTAAACCTTTTCAATTTGTTGTTCTGGAAGCCACCTTGGGAGAAAGGTGGCATATAAATAAAGTAAATAAAATAAATAAACTGAAAAGTCAGCTTTCCTCTCACTGAGATCCAAAACACACTGCAGAAATAATCCAGTTTGAGACCACTTTAACTGCCCTGGCTCAGTGCTAGTGAATCATGGAAATTGTAGTTTATTGTGGCACCAGCGCTCTCTGACAGAGAAGCCTAAATGTCTCACAAAACTACAGTTTCCAAAATTCCCAAACACTGGGGCAGGGCAGTTAAAGCGGTTTCAAACTGGATTATTTCTGCAGTGTGTTTTGGACCATTGGACTACCAGTCTACCCAAAAAACTATACCACAAACAGCAGAAAAGTCAATAGGAAAACCAAGAAAGCACACAAGAAAAAGCAAGAAACACTGTTTGGGGAGAACTCGAAGAACATTTATATATATATATATATATATATATATATATATATATATATATATGTGTGTGTGTGTGTGTGTGTATATAATATTTTAATAAATATGATATAATAAATTTATTATTATATAATATAATAAATGTGTGTGTGTGATTTGTGTGTGTGTAAATATATATATGATAAATTTATTATATCATATTTATTAAAATATGATATACATACACACATGTATATATTATACACACATATAAATACATTTATTAATATTTTATATATATATATATACACACACACACACACACACACACACACACACAAATCATGCACATAAACATTTATATTATATAATAATAAATTTATTATATCATATTTATTAAACACACACACACACACACACATTACTTGTGGGGAGGTCTGTGTGGAACTTGTGGGGTGAGGTGTCCAAAAAAGGCCACATAAAGGGGGATATCTATATCTATCTATCTATCTATCTATCTATCTATCTATCTGTCTATCCTATATATAGATATACCCGTATTTTCCGGCGTATAAGACAACCCCCCATTTTTCCAGCCAAAATATAGAGTTTTAGCACATCTATCCTCCCCATCCTTATACCCCAGCTTATAAGACGACCCCCCCCACTTTAACCACAGATTTTGCAGGTTAAAAAGTAGTCTTATACGCAGGAAAATAAGGTACATATCGAGCAACACACCAGATACAATATCTGTTCCCAAAAACAGGCTCACATCTACTTTTCTATTCTACATTTGTTGGCATGTTTTCATCAGACTTTTCCACCAATGTTTTTTTCCTATTCTGGCAGTTGTTTCCACAGTCTGCAAAAGGCCCTTAGTCTCCATAACGAAGCCAGAAGCTTCAGCTCAGAGGCATGAAAGTTACCCTCTTCTCTCTTTCAGAAGACCCGGGTCGCTAAGTGTTCTGACGTGACGCGTGTGCCCGTTTTCTCTTTCAATCTCTCACTCTTGTGTCCCTCCAAGCTAGGAACTGATTAATCGTTTCTCTCCGTGACATCACTACAGTTACAACAGGGGTAGGCAAGCTTTCCCCTTTAAGGGCCAAGGGACTTCAGCT